GGTCGTGAGGTCGTGACCTGCCGCTGCAGGAGGCCGGAGGAGAGATGCTGAGGTCACGGCACTCTCCTCCTCATCCACATGCAGCTCTCATTAATACTTCACCACGCTCATAACTCCTGACCTGTGCCGACTGTTCACGCTAATGAAACGATGAGCCAGCCCGTTTCCGACAGTTAAAACTAAACCCAGCAGCCATTCTTTTTCCAAATATGCACAACGGCGGACAGTTTTTGTGTTTACATAGTTTTACAACTCAAACGTTTCTCGGAAGCTCTTGATCCAAGCCTCTTACGCACTTTTTTTGACAGCGGCTAAATCTGAGATATGTATCGTGAAGCTGTGCATACATCCTCCTCATGTTCTCTCTGTAGTAACTCACGGCAAAATGACGGATGTCAGAGGAGTCCTGGAAAGCTTCTTTTTTTTTTTTTTGTCACTCTCCGACTCCTCTTGTGTTTGAGTTTGTCATTCCAGCTGTGCTCTTACTTTACCCTGAGTGCAGCAGCTAATTATCGCACCTCACTGCAGGCTTATTTAATCAGAGGGAGCGTGAGCAACGCCGCTGTGATATGAACTTACATTAGTGATGAAGAGCAGAGGTGTAAAGTATTGGAGTAAATGTAATTAGTTACTGTACTTGAGTATCTTTTCGGGTACTTTGTACCTATTACAGGTCACTGAAAGTACTGCATTTTGTGTGTTTTGCCCTTACTCACCCAAACTTTTCAACAAGGCTACTTTATGTGAATGCGAGTTCCTTAGCAAGTATTTGTGAATCACAGGTGTTTTATATATGAGATGAGACATTTTGCATGGACCTAGCTTTTTCTGCAGCAGTTTATTTCTGCTAGAAAAGACGTGATACTGCCTACTACAGGTCACTGAAAGTACTGCATCTTGTGAGTTTTGCCCTTACTCAAACTTTTCAACAAGGCTACTTTATGTGAATGCGAGTTCCTTAGCAAGTATTTGTGAATCAGAGGTGTTTCATATATGAGATGAGGACATGACTGCAGCCGGCAATGAGGCCAAAACCAGCACATCCACTGCAAGAAGGCTTCAACTTTTTAATTTTACTTAACATTATTTTATTTATCCATTACACTGAATAAACCTTTTTGAAGGATATTGTTTTTTGTTTGTTTGTTTTGTTTTGTAATTTTGAGGTGTTCAGTTTTATTTTGGTTTTAGAAAATAAACGTGATTGCTCTCCTTACAAATCAACTCTTTCTTGTTTTTGTTTCATGCTCTCTGTGCCTTGCCCTGGAATTTTATGTCACTTCCTGTCTCCCGTGGTGTTTGTAGTCAGTTTGTAGTCCGTTTGTTCATTGGTTCCCCTTGATTAGTCTCCCCAGGTGTGTCTTATCTTGTTAAGCTTGTTAGTAGAGGTCTACACGGAGGACCCGAGACCCGAGGGTTCGGGGCTATATTTTAAATGGTCAGCCGGGTCCGGGTCGGGTCGGGTCCCAATCTATTACTTCGGGTCCCGGGTCTGTTTAACATTGTGTGTAATACCCGAGTCGATCAAGGCTTCTTACATTAGGTTAGACAAAAAGTTTAATTTTCGCAACTTGTTTATCGACTTGTTAATAGCAATTTGCTGTGGAATATGTGCCGATCGGGTCCAGTCGGGTCTGTGTCTTCCCGGCCGGGTTCGGGTCCATCTTTCAAATAATTGACGGTCCGCGTCGGTTCTGGGTAGTACATTTTTGACATTTCTCGGTTCTGCACGGGCCCAGGTCCAACTTTCAAAATAATAGACGGGTCCTGGTCAGTTCAGTGTTGCACATTTACGGGTCTCTTTCGAATTTTTGGACCCGTGTAGACCTCTACTTGTTAGCCCCCTGTGTGTATATATAGCCCTAGTTTTTCTTTAGTTGCTTGTGAGTTGTTGAATGTAATGGTTGTCTGTTTGCTAGTCATTCTGTTCTTTGTTCCCTTTGGTTTTTGGCTTATTGTTTGTTCTAGTTTTTCCATGAAATACCAGCACATAGATCCTTGCCTCTGCCTGTTTTCCGCAGCTTCTCCACAACGTTACAGTTTTTCACTGGCATGTCTCTTTGACTAGTGCATCTTTGAGCTTATATTTAGTATAAGTAAAATACTTAAGTGCTGTTAAAATCAGATACTCTAAGACTTTTACTCAAGATGTTTTGGAATTGGTGACTTGTAAAATGTAGTGGAGTAATTTTCACTGTAAGGTATCTGTACTTTTACTCAGGAATGGTTTTTAGGTACTCTTTACACCTCTGATGAAGAGACCTGAATGCCACACGCCAATCTCTGTGTGATGCTTACTTTCATTTTAAAGGAATAGTTCATGCAAAAAGGAAAATTGGCTGAAAATGTATTCACCCTCAGGCCATCCAAGATGTTGATGTGTTTGTTTCTTCATCAGATTTGGAGTAATGTAGCATTCCTTCACTTGCTCACCAATGGATCTCTGCAGTGAATGGGTGCCGTCAGAATGAGAGTCCAAACAGCTGATAAAAACATCACAGATTTTAACTTCTAACCATTGCTTCCCGCTAAAATACGAGTCAATAATCCATAATAACGCTTCATCCAGTGAAAAAGCCGTCTCGTCTGAATCAGAAGAGAAATCTGCACAGATCAAGCACCGTTAACAAGCCAAAACAGCTCTAAACAAATATGTGAGTGGATTTTGATGTGAGACACAACAGGAGATTAACGTTTTCACTGGAGGAAGCATTATTATGGATTATGGACTTGTATTTTAGCTGGAACAAACACACAGCTTTTGGCTTCACAAGACATTAACTGATGGACTGGAGTGGTTACTTGTGGATTATTGTGATGTTTTTATCAGCTGTTTGGACTCTCATTCTGACGGCACCCATTCACTGCAGAGGATCCATTGTTGAGCACAAATGTGAAGCTAAATTTCTCCAAATCTGATGAAGAAACAAACTCATCTAGATCTTGGATAGACTGAGGATGAGTACATTTTCAGCAAATTTTCATTTTTGGTTGAACTATTCCTTTAAATGCAAACAAATCACACACTAATAGTCTGATTATTGCCAGTAATTTCTTTTAATTATTTATAATATCAAACATGCGTTCAAATTCAATAGGCATGTTTTTTCTGCTGTTTTCATTGACCTGCCTCAAATTCAAAATCTGCTTCAAATGCAAAAAAAATGGCAAAATAATTCCTGAGCTCACTAGAAATATTGTTTTCTATTCGTGAAGTGTTTTCAAACCCATGCATTTGCACAAGGCATCATCTGTCTATAGCACAAACATGTGCATTTTCATCAGCGTGGACATTAAAATGTGATTATGGTTGCTGCATAATCATAATAACATAATCACAAAATTCTGTTAACACAAGCTTCAAATTAATCTCAGTACTGCTTTAATCGCATTATGAACATAGTCATTATGTGTTTGAGCATATTTGTGTTCCACTGCAATGTTTTTCTGATGCTGTTATGTGTTTAATAGAATGATAAACATAAAAACCAGATGTTTCAGGCCTTTAGATGTGGTTAATGTACCGGTAATATGCCAAACACACCAATTTAGTCTTGATAGACTGCAATCAGAACAGAATCTTAATAATTTCTTGTAGAGAATCTCATAATCTGTGTAATTTTGCTGTAGCTACAAGCCCAAAATTATCACGAGTTTAATCGTTCAAATCATTCAGATTGGAAATGAAAGAGTACTTATTTGTATTTTTTTTCTCTGACGTGACACCAGCAATTTCCCTATTTTATCGTGTTCTGAGGTTTGTCCTATCTAGCCTCCGTGATCTGTTTTAAAGCAGCTCTATCTAATATTTATTTTATGTAATAAAAGTGAGGGATTTTGCATTATTCACTAAGGTTCTATGGCCGAGAAAATCCCATACAGTAAGATCAGACCGAGCACTTAATACATGAGTGTGTTTTATACACAAACAAGAGAGCGAGTATAAACCCGACCTGCTGATGCGAACTTGTTACCATAGCAACCACTCATCTGTCAGCCTCACGTGCGCAGTGCTGTCAACGGCACATGAGCTGGCAGAATTAATCAAGGAGGTTTTGATGAAGGGAAAAAATGTAAAGAAACATGAGTCTACTGTCAATATCTTGCTTCTCTGTTTCCTGTAAGTGTGGTTCATACATGTCTTGACTCTTGTACAAGGTTTATGAGATTTCACAGAAGATGCTGATGAGGACAGAGCAGATCCCCATTCAGACTGAATTCAAGATAAAATTAAAAAACAATGAACAAAAATGAAAAGCTAATACTGGTGTACATCTTGTGATCTTGTTAGTGGCGTGTGCTTGCAATACACTGAATACAATATATTTTATTATATAGATAGATAGATAGATAGAAAATTTAATATAAATTTTAAGATGACATTTAAATAGATTTTTCTAGTTATATATATTTAAATGTGTGTGTTATTTTTAAATGTATATTAAATAATTATATATAATATATAATAATTTGTAATATAAATGTAAAAATAACGTGTACACACATATATATATATATATACACACACAGGTAGTTTACATTCAAGCAATTGTTTGTGTATATGTACACAGCATATCAAACAAGAGGCATAGGAACAAACCGTAGCGACTTTGCTCATGGATATTAATTACGTGACATTCGCCCGGTAGTCCTGGCTGATTGGCTTAAATGCAGAGACTTGGTTTTGTGTGTGTGTGTGTGTGTGTGTGTGTGTGTGTGTCTCTAGCTACTTCGGCAAAGACAAATGAACCTCAAAGTCTTACAAATAAAATTTTTACAGTTTCGTTTGATGACTTTAGTGGTCCAGAAATGATACACTTTGTTGTTGAGAGCTTTTTGGAATACATCTTTGAAATGAAGCACGTTCTGTTGGCATCTGAACATACGCTCTAGCAGATGCTGCCTGTCGTGAAGATCTTCTGAGTTTTTAAGATCTCTCTCTCTCTCTCTTTCTCTCTCTTTCTCGAACAATGAACGTCCACATGGCCCAATACGAGCAGCCATCCGGCCTAATGCAAGTCAGTTTCTCCTTCCACCATTAGTTATTCTCTGTATGTGTCAGTCCTTCATCTGCTTTTGATGTCTTTCTCTCTCTCTTTCTCCATCATGCGTGTGTGTGAATACTGTATCCAGTGGCCGTTTTTGAGGGCTAGTGAGGAAAGACAGAGTGTGAGAGGTCTTATAACTCTGTCCTCTTTCTGGTTTCTCCTGTACTTCTTGTGACCTCCTTCTCTCTTGCCCTCGAAATCTCTCCCTCTCTCGTTCTCTGTGTGTCTCTCATTCCCCCGTGTGTAGCAGTGCGGCGTCACTCTCTGCGTCAGTGTGCCATTACGTCAGCCCTGCATCGCGTCACTGCTGAGGTGCAGATGAGCTAACGTTGCTTTTTCTCTCTCCCCCCTTTGTCTCTTTCTCTCGCGCTACCTGTGCGTTTAACTCTATCTCTCCCTTACGCCAACTTCCTATCTCTCTCGTCCAGTCTTCGGGCACCAGCATGACGGTGGACATCGCGGTGATGGGCGAGGCCCACAGGTAGTTTACACTGAAAATGTTTGTTTTCTTGAATGTGTTGTATTGTTTTACATATATTGTACACATATTGTAAGCTTGATGTATTTGTTTTATTGGATGTAATGTTGTTTATTTAATCGTTTATTCTTGATTATGTAAAGCACTTTGAGTCGCATTTTATGTTTGAAATGTTTGAGTATTATTATTATTATTATTATTATTAATGGAAATGATTACACCTGCTCAGCACCCAGTTCACCTTCCAGCCGCTGCACCACCGGCCGCACCTGAGCCCCCTGCTGGCCTTCAGCGATGGACACGCCTGCTCTGACTCAGAGGAGGTGCCGGAGAAAGGAGAGAGGCTGGCCATCTCAAAGGTAAAGCCACACCCTTTCAAGTAGCAGGATTTGATTGGTAAATGGCCCTTTGCTAAGCCCCACCTTAAAAATATGACTGACCTTTGCAGCTGTTGTGGTGCCGCCCACTTTTTTCCATTTCCATACATTTTGTTCTGTTTTTTTTTAATAGTGAGAAATCTGTATTGTGACATACATTCAATTTTAACAAATTATTGTGAAAGAAAATGAAATGGGTGTGACTTGATTCTATTCTTCAGTCATTGATTGGATGTTGCTAAGCCCCGCCTTAAAATATGATTGACCAATCTAATCTTTGCAGCTGTTGCGGCATCAGCCACTTTTTTCCATTTCTATTCTTTAAGTAGCGAAAGATTCTTTTTTTTCCGTATTGTGATGTATATTTGAGTTTAATTAATTAATGACATAGAAATCTGTGGGCGGGACTTGGTTCCGGTTAGTTGTTGACTGGATGTTGAGATGTGAGAGGAGGTGCCAGAGAAAGGAGAGAGGCTGGCCATCCCGTAGGTAAGGCCAAACCCTTTCAGGTGCTGGAATTTGATTGGTTATTGGCCCTTTGCTAAGCCCCACCTTAAAAAAAATGATTTACCAATATGACCTTTGCAGCTGTTGTGGCTCCACCCACTTTTTTCCATTTAAATTTTTTCGTTGAGATTTTTAAAGTAGTCACAGATTCTTTCTTCCATATTGTGATGTACATCTGAGTTTATTGAAATTAAATTATTAAATTAAAATTGGATTATTGAAAAATAAAAGGTGGGCGGAACTTAGTTCTGTGCAGCGGTTGTTGATTGGATGTTGAGATGTGAGAGAAGCGCCAGAGAAAGGACAGAGCCTGGCCATCTCAAAGTTAACGCCACACCCTCTCAGGAGCAGGACTTTGTTAAGCCATGCCTTAAAATATGACTGACCTTTGCAGCTGTTGCCATTTCCATTCCATTTCCAGATTTTTTTAAAGCCGCAAATGGTGGCGGGAATTGGTCCTATGCATTGGTTGTTGATTGGATGTTGAGATGTGGGCGGGGCACTCACTTGAGCTTGCGTGGGTGGAGTTTAAGAGGACTTAATTATTGGAGAAGCCTGCATATATCATTAGAGAGGAGTTTGTTGTTTTCACCAGAAGATCTAGATATAATGTTTTTATTAAAGGGGTCATATGATGTGATTTCATGTTTTCTTTTGTCTTTGGAGTGTTAAAAGCTGTTCATGCATACAGAAGATCCGTAAAGTCACAAAGATTAAAGTCTCAAACCTAAAGAGATATTCTTTATAAAAGTGAACGCTAGGGCTGCATGATTAATCGAAATTAAATCGCAAAGGCGATAAATCGCGATTAGGCAGAAGCTGCGACTTTTATTCTCGCTGTAGTATTGTTGCTGTCGCCGCCATGTCGTGGAGACGCTGTGTTTCGTTGCGAAAGCCAAACTACTTTGTTTTGCCTTTCAAAAGTGGACACAACTAGAAATCAGTGGTTACATTTTATTTACAACACTATTCCAGAACAGTACAACCCAAATATTTGAGTGTGTGCAGCTCTTTTTACAGAAGAAAGTTTCCTGAACCTGGTAAGGGGCGTAACATTTCCGTCACACGCTTGAGGAATTCGGGCAATCACAACTAACTGGATCGCTGGCCAATCAGAGCACACCTCGCTTTTCAGACCGATGAGCTTTGTAAAAATCTACGCATTTCAGAAAGGCGGGGCATAGAGGAGCAACAATAATGTACAATATGTGGAAAATAATGTGTTTTTTGAACCTTAAACCGCCTAAACACATTTCATTACACCAAATACACAAAATAATGTTCTTTTTAGCAACATCATATGACCCCTTTAAAAGATATGAGGTCGAGACTTTTTTCATTTACATTTACATTTACATTTAGTCATTTAGCAGACGCTTTTATCCAAAACGACTTACAAATGAGGACAATGGAAGCAATCAAAATCAACAAGAAAGCAATGATATGCAAGTGCTATAACAAGTCTCAGTTAGCTTAACGCAGTACGCGTAGCAAGGTTTTTTTAAATTATATAATAAATAAAAAGAAAACATAGAATAGAAAAAGAATAGAGCAAGCTGGTATTAGACCTTTTTTGCTTTTGTTAATTGTATAATAAATAAAAAGAAAACAAATAGAATACAAAAAGATTAGAGAAGCTAGTTTTTTTTGTTTGTTTGTTTTTATTTATAGAAAACAAGCATTTAGTAAATGAATAGAGTGCAAGTCTAAAAGGGGCAAGTTTTTTTTTTTAAGAATAGGATTAGAATATAGAGTGCTAGAGTTAGAGGGTCAAATAAAGATGGAAGAAATGTGTTTTTAGCAGATTCTTGAAGTCTGTGAAAGTGATTTTGTGCCTCTTTGGGATGGCACAATAAAGCGACGTTCACTTGCAGAACGCAAGCTTCTCGAGGCACATAATTCTGAAGTAATGAATTTAGGTAAAGGGGTGCAGAGCCAGTGGTGGTTTTGTAGGCAAACATTAATGCAAGGTTGAGTTGAAGGTGATGGTCCTTCATCCAGCGAGAAATGTCTGTTAGACAAGCTGAGATGCGAGCTGCTATCGTCGTATCATCAGGATTGAAATGAGAGGTAGAGTTGAGTGTCATCAGCATAGCAGTGATATGAAGAGCCATGTTTCTGAATAACAGAGACAAGTGATGCCATGTAGATAGAGAAGAGAAGTGATCCAAGAACTGAGCCCTGAGGCACCCCAGTAGCTAGATGTTGCGACTTGGACACCTCACCTCTCCAAGATATCTTGAAGGACCTATCTGAGAGGTAAGACTCAAACCACTGGAGTGCAGTTCCTGAGATGCCATTTGCCAAGTGAAGTGAAGTGTTCATAATAAGATCTATAAAACTTGCATTTTTAAAATAGATAGGGTGAACTTTCATTTCATGCTGACTCAATAAAATTTTTGAGATGAATATTAGATTTGAAGCAAAACATTTATTTGAAAAAAGACACAGGGTGCAAAACCGTGTAGTTTTTTCTTTTAAATGAGGGAATGAACTATACATCCCATGAATCATTGCAAATGATGTAACTGAATCATAAATAATTGTACAACATGAGTCTGTTGACTTGAATTAACAATACATTTTGAGTTTATTGCAAAAATAATCAGACTGGAGGCTGATTTTGATTACATCATTTGCAATTCTTTCTCTATGGATAAAGTTAATGAAATCATGTATTTATTTTTGCACTGAAAATTTGTTATAGGAACGGTTTTCACTCAGAAATAGGACATTTCATAATTAATTACAAATAAGTAGCAAGTAACACTTTGAATATATCGTGAAATTCTGAAGCAGAAAGAATGAAATTGTATTTTCTTGCAAAACATACTCCAATAATCTTTGTTTTATTTACATCTTTGAAAATTCATTTTTGCAGTGTATCATCAGACAATACTTTAATAATGGAATTGCATGAAAGTCTGTGTTTGGACAGTTTTAAATAGAATTTCATTGAGAAATTATCCAAAAGCACAGTAAAACATTCAGTACAGTAAAAAATGTACTGTACAGTAATCTATATATTTCTTTACATATAAATCTCATATAAAATGCTTTGACATGCCACAGTTAATTCTCACCCAAGTAAGAATAATATCCAGTCACTGAAAATCATGCTGTTCATACCTGTGGGACGTTCTGTAAAGCTTGTCCTGCGGGGAACGGAGCTTAGTGACGTTTGTGAACATGGATGGTTTTTCATCGGCTTTGGTGTTTTTACATTATTTTTTAGCATTGCTGCAGCAATTCATGAATGGCTCGCGTAATCGTGGTGGAACCAGTGAAGATTTTGAGACAAAAGAAAAAGACTCCATTGTGTTTAATGGTTTACTGCCACGGCCAATACTCTGTTTTTCATCACACACACACACACACACACACACGTTCATTCCTCATTCACGCCAGCATGGCAGGTCTCTAATGTAGCGGACAATGACGCATATTCTCACAGAAGCCTTTTAATGTTTCACCAGCACTGCAGTTAAAAATGCATGCCGGCACTTAAAGAGTAGGTGAGGCAAAAGTCACTATCCGACTCTCCAGTGCTTTTCCCATGCTGCAGTGCTCAGCAAACAACATTAAAAGATGTTTATTAAAGCCCATTCATTACACCTGGTCCATATGTAGGTCACACCGCACTACGCTCTGATATTGAACAGAATTCAGAGCGCCGGCCTTATTATTTTTCCACAGCGTATATAATGTGATATTTTGGCAGTGTGAAGAAAAACACGAGTGAGTCTGGTTCTTTAAGCAGCGTTTTATCTGTCAGAGCTGCAGCTGTGTCAATATCGGAATAAAAACGGCATGAAACGCAACTGATGGTGACACGATTTTCCTAGAAGGTCAAATAGTTGTGGCCTGTTTGGGTGTCCAGTTTGGCAGTGGCGCATTTAGCTTCGGCCTTAGCAGGAAACGGGGCTTTTTCACATAAATCCCAAATCACTTTTCCTGTATATTTTAACTCGACAAAGAAAAACACTTTTCCTAAGGTGTTACATTTCTGCAGCGCTGCTGATCGGACGTCCATTTCTAGAGCCGGTAAACATGCAACACAGTTACCGTAGGTCAGAAACCTTTAACGCATTATACATGCATGAGCTCCCCGCATTAGAAAGTACTATTAAGATTTAAAGGCCGATTCCTCTGGTATTTTCCTACTTTAGGATTTTGAGCGAGCGCATGCCTTTGTAGCGGATGTTTAAAATGCTAATCTATTCAAGAACTTATAGGAAAGGAAAGTTGTTGAACTGACCGTTTCACTGCACTCTCAGGGCCTGGACTATTCCCTGCAGGTTTTGTTAGTTTTTACTAAGGCATTATAGCTAAAAATAATTGTGTATGTTGATGTTTTTCAGCCTTTTTAATATTATATATATATATATATATATATATATATATACACACACATATATAAACTAATTGAAAATGTTTAGTGCAAGTATAAATCTGATCAAAGCTAAATAAACACAAGGCATGCTTTTGAAAACTTGTTAAATAAATATAGTTAAAATAATAAAAAATGAATAAATAATAACAAATTATTAAAATAATACATTATGTGCACCAATATAAAATATTTTACCTACAATACATAAAAGTTAAAGCATGGAGGAGTAAAGTCATAACATTTTTCTTTTTTTTTTTAATATTCAAGAAAATTGCAATTTCACATCTTTTGAGATTTTTTTTTAATACCTGTAATCACTGGTGTTTTGCTGCAAAATGACAAAATGATTACGAATGAGAAGACTGATGCTGTGAGCTGGTGTTGAGGCTGTGATTTGAGTTCCCTGTAGGAGGCTAGTTTGTGCAAAAATGCTTAAGGGGTTGCTGGAGAATTTGCACATACCATTTTATTGAAGGGTTCTGAGGCTCTGTGGGTGATGTATTGCTTAGCTTTTTTGTGTGTTGGTAGCATGAACTGGTATTAGATAATTAATTTTAAACCATATGATGAAGATATTTGGCAAATCATGAGAAACCTGTCAAGGGTCGTGTTACATCCCAATATTAAAGGTCAAAAGAGTTAGGAATTATGTTTTGCATAAAGAAAATGATGCCTCTTTTTATTTTATTTTATTTTACTTTATATTTAATGTTTTATTTTTAATAGATTTAATAATTGTATTTATTTAGAATATTGAATGACAATTAAGCACATTAATGCAGTATTTTTTAATTAATAAAATCATTTTAATAATAATAATAATAATAATAGATTAATAATATTTTAAACCAGTATAAAGGCAGCACAAAAAATACTGCCATGATGTATAATTTTTTTTTTTCATATAATTTTTTGTTTTGCATTCCAGTAAATAAAACAAAGTTTTTAAATTGTGATCATTTTGCAATATGGTTAACAATTTGAAGTGTAAATGTCACATGTTGATTGACAATTAAGCACATTAATGCAGTAGAAGTAATTAAATTTTTAAATTAATAATAATAATAACAATAAAAAACAAAAAAAATACTACCATGATGTATATTTGCGTTATCATTTAAATAATATATCTTATTATCTTATCTGCATACCAATTGCGATAATACAGTTTTTAAATTGTGATAATTTTGCAATATACTGTAGTAAAGAATTTGGGGGTTAGATATCCTTAATTTTTAAGAAAATTGTAGCATAATGCACCTTAATAATCCTAAAATAGCTTAATTTTTATTTAATTGAATATCCAGACATGTTCTTCTCGGGGTTTCGTGAGATTTCCTTATATAGGTTAGTTTAGACTGTGATAGGAAACAAATCTCTAAGCTGTCACACCGGCTGGAGAAGATGGTTCAATCGGACACTGCAGAACCCTGATCGGACGAGACTCGGCTCACAGACGCCTGAGCGCTGTCTGTCTGTGTGAGAGAGAGACGCCACGGCAGGAGAGGAGACGCACGTCCCGAGCACCTTCTCAGACAATACATCCACTCAAACATGTTCCTCCCAACTCCAGCTGACAGCACCTCCGGCTGAATTAATATCAGGCGCTCATATTGCGCAGATGTTTTCATGTTTGTGGCTACAGATTGTTGCATGAGAATTTTCCTGAGCTAAAAATACACATGTGATTTGTGACTTCTGACCCCAGCGCTCACCCCATCTGTCTGTAATAGGACAGTGCTGGTCTCCCAGATTGCCTAGGGCATGCACTCGGAGCGGTTGGGAGATTAGGGTTGGGGCATGCGGATGTGCCCTCTGCTTCTCTACGTGGGCCGGAGCCCTGCACTGCATCTGAAATATTCATGCTGCTCTCAGGAGAGTTTCTTCCCTGCTCTGACTGTTCTCAAACTTTTTGTGCACCATTGTGCAATTTTATATAATCAAAAACATACTTAACTTTGATACGCAAATGCAGATAAACGCATTAACCAATGCAGTGCAAGTGATGTGTTACCGTTCTGGAGTTTTTTTGAAATATATTAAATGTGCCATTAAACCAGATGTGTTATTCAGATGCCAAACATGCTGAAACTTTCTCAGCAAAATTCTCTCCAAACTATTTTTTCTCCATGACACTAGTTGGCCTGCTAGAGAAAACTGTCCGACAGTTACTTTAATTTTCGCTATACTGTACTGCAATTTGCATTGCATTACATTGAATTTAAAGGGATAATCCACACAAAATTGAAAATAGTCATCATTTACTGTTATTTTAGTGTAATTGGGATGCTATTATTATTAATATTACTGATACTATTTTTATAGTTTAAATATATTAATATAGATTGTAATTTGTAATATAATTTTTTGCATATTTTGTAATATTTTATATTTATTTTTAATTTTAATTAGTTATGTCGATGTGTTTTATCTTTTTTTATGTTTAATATGTTTTTAATAGTTTTTATTAGTTTTTATGTAAGTTTTAGTTACTTTAGTGCATCAAGTTAAACTAAATGTTTTTTCAGTTTATTTTACATTGCACTGAAAGGGGTAATGAAATGAAAATTGTTGTCATTTACTTAACTCCAGTGCTATTTTAGTATAATTGAGATACAGTTTTAGTTTTATGAATATTTTAATTGGGTTTTATTTTTATATTTTAGCTATATTAATTTATATTTACATTTTTAATATTTCAATTTTTATTTTTAATTATTTTATATTTTTTAAATAATTTTAATGTTAATGTTAAAGTTTTAGTTATAGTGCTGTGTGTTTTGTCATTTTTAAAATATGCATATATAGTTTTTATTAATATTTTGAATTAGTTTCATTTCTATATTTTAATTATATTCCTTTTTATTTAAATTTGTAATATTTTGTTGTTTAATATTTATTTATATTTTATATTTACTTTTAATTTTAGTTAACGCTTTAGTTGTCTTAGTGTGTTTTGTAATTGTTTTAAATATGCCTATATAGTTTTTATTCATTTTTATGTAAGTTTCAAACCTCTATGCATTTCTTAAAAATTAGTAAATGATGCCAGGATGTTGATTTTTTTTTTGAGTGTTCTGTCCCTTTAAGTGCATTTATCTAGTCTGTTTCATACCACACAAACGTGCCGTATCAGCCAAGCCTTTTGATTGGTTCACAGCTTGTGATGTAAAGAAGAAATGCGATGATGCATTTCTCCAGGGTCTTCCATCTGTTCTGTTCCCCTTTTCCCAGTTGGGAGAAGGGCTCAGTATTCCCTGACGGACCGCTGTCATCTGCCGCCCTCAGATGTTTGGCTTAACGCACAGACTCGCTCTCGAAATACACACACTCGCTAAGATTTACATCATTTACGTAAAATGCAATCCAAACAAGCACTTTGTTTAACGACTGCACTGCCAAAAAGTGTTAATTTGGGTCTGGGTTGTCAAACACATGTGGCTTTATTCTGTCTGGGTCAGTGTTAATTGATTATAATTGGTGATGTGACTTTTGACAAGCTTCAAAACTGACCTTAGCGGAGAATTTGTGAATCTAAGTGTTTTGCTGCGCTGTCAACATTGTTTTAGTCTAAACTTGATGTATGTTCTCTTTAAATAACAGCGTTTGAGGCGCAGTTTGCATCCGGGGCTTTTGAGACGGATTTCTTCCCCGTGGACCACCACCACCTCAGCCACCGGCCTGCCCACCCTCGAACCCGGGCCGGTCAGATGGGACCGCAGTGCCAGCATCAAAGCACCTCATGATGGCCCTTCCAGCAGGTAATAAACACTTCTTTCTTATTCAGATGCAATAAACACGGCAATCCGTGTTTACCTTTAGACTAACTTACACAACTTCACAAATGAACACAACTTAAAGGAATAGCACACCCAAAATGAAAATTTGTTGAAATGTACTCATGTACTCAAATTTGCAGTACCCTCAGGCCATCCAAGATGTAGATGAGTTTGTTTCTTCATCAGATTTGGAGAAATGTAGCATTCCATCACTTGCTCATCAATGGATCCTCTGCAGTGAATGGGTGCCGTCAGAATGAGAGTTCAAACAGCTGATTCACTGCAGAGGTTTGATATGGTGATAGCATCGAGCTTTAAGCGTTTCTTCATGCTTTTGTTCACCAGCCCAGATCACTTAAAATGACTGAATGTCATTGCAAAATATGTCTGTATCTCAAATGCTGCAGAATCGCCATTTTCACCATCTTCACCTTGCTTCATTTTTGTTCAGTGTCTTTGGTGTTTTAGTGACTTTTAGTGGATGTCTGAAGACCTAAAGTAGTCCTAGCAGAGAAACACTTCACAAACACAAAAGCGTCCAGTTGCTTCATTTTGAAGCATTTTATGTGTTGTTTTATTATTTCAAACCTAACAAACACCTTATTCATGAAATGTTTCGTTTGAGAAGTACGCTTGTGCAGTCTAAACTGATGTGATATTTTATCATTTAATGCAATTTGTCCAAACACTTCCCGGGCCGCTGTATGTGACTCATGAAGTGTTTTGAAGCAATAATACATACTTTCTGAAAATATGAGTCCACGGAGAGTTTCTCAGGATTTATCTGACAGCACTTTTATCCGTTTGCCCTCATTTTGTTTTGTTTGTCATCATTGTCTCGTACGTTAGTGTTTCACACAGCTGTTGCGGATCGCCGTCAAGCGCTTGAACTTTCCAGAGCTCCTCCATGCTGCCTTACTCACTCCGTCTGAATGTTTGATTCAAATTTTTATAATGTCCATCTTTGGGCATTTCTCCACCTTTCTACCTCTTATTTCAGCTTGAGTTATACAGACCAGCTAAAGTTCAGCCCATTAATACTGATATCCAGATAGCCATCTGCACTGTGTAGACAGAGAGTTTAAAGAGGCTTCCTGGAGACCCGAGAGCCCGGGTCGTGTTTAGATTCGGGCCCTTTTGAAATAAAAGTCCCGGTGAAAAATGGAGGGTCACACGGTTGCCTGCATGACCATGTTGAGGCTGGTTTTAAAGTGGCGGGTCTCCTGCGCAGCTTCTTAATGGATATCTGAAGAGTGTTCCCACAGCAGGAGGCCTGTTCGCTCCCATTTTTTAAAGTTGGCAGGAAAATTCAAGTTTAAATCCCTCTCCCAAAATAAGCCACTTGGACTCTTTTAACCCCAGAAAAAGTGCAAAAAGTTCGCCTTTTGAGAGGAAAAAGGTTATGCCGTGTGTATGTATACACACTAAAATACCACTGCACTGGAGTCTAAACAACAAAACCAGCATCTCTTTGGCAATAAATCAACATTAATAGGTAAAACCATTTAATGTCAATCATGCGTTTTCTCCTCTCTTGCAGTTTGGTGAACAGTGATTCATGGAACAACTCGGTTATGCTCGGCCTTTCCAAGAGCAGGTCCATGTCTGCTTCATACACTGCCTCCTCTGCCACCAACCACATCTATAGCAAGAGCCGAAGAGGTACAGCGCTGTGTGTGTGAGAGAGTGTGTGTGTGTGTGTGTATGTGTGTGTGTGTGTGTGTTGAGTGAAAGGAGATAAATGGGCTCTGGCAGAGCCAGTGTGATTCCTCTGCTCTCTGACAGGTTACCCTTCTTCCAACATCTCACCTCTGGCTTCACCCTGCAACTCCCCTCCAGTCCAGGGCACTCCGCTCACCAGCCCCACCAACAAAAGCCCTTCAGTGGAGCTGCCGGATGCAGAGCTTCCGCTGGGCGACGGCCCGCCACCACGGAGCCCCCACAAAGCCTTAACCCACAGTCAGAGCGCCCCCAGCTCCAGCACCTCACAATGGGTGCCGCCTCCACTTTGTAGCAGGTAAAACCCCACCATTCTGTTGAGCTTCACACATTTCTGCACTGATTTTTTTGAGGGAAATTCATTTAATGTTTAAAGCAGAGCTTTGGGATCCAAAAGCATTGTAAAATTATCCAAAAATATTTAATAAATTAACATGCAGGTGTCGCGTCCACAAAACATCTATTCTATAATTGCATTTGCATATTAATCATCTCATTCTTATAATTTAAATATTCATTTCATATTCATTCTTGCTGTAAGGTATTACATTATATTTTATTATATTTTCCAAAATATTTAATAAATAAATATTCAGGTAGACCATCCACAAAACTCAAAACTATGATTTCATATTTTCATATAAATAATTTAATTCTTATTCTAGAAATATTAATTTTCATATCTATTTTTGTTAAAAACACTCATTGCAATTTATTTAAAATGAATTGTTATTATAATTTTCAAAATATTGATTAATAAACATGCAGATGTAGTGTCCAGAACTTAAATATATAATTTCATATTTGTATATTAAGTGAATTCTCATACTTGAAATATTTATTTTCATTTCTATGTTTGTTTAAAAAAAAAAGCATTTTTTATTACATTACACAAAATATTTAATAAACAAATGCAGGTGTAGCACCCACAAAACCATAATTTTATATTTGCATATTAATCATTTGCATATTAATATCTTTCTCATACTTAATTTTGATATATCATATCTGATTTTAATAACTCTTTTTGTAATTTAATTTAGAACTGTTATTATACTCCAGTCTAGTTATTATATTCACTTCATTTGCCTTTAAATATGTGCAAATGTTGTTTTACAAGTAGTTTTTCAGTGATATTGCTGAGAGAACACACGATATGAGTTGTAAAAAGCCCAGCCTTTTATTAAAGAGTTACCCAAACAATAGGATCGACCACAGTTGCGTAAGTCATTTTAAGTGTACTGGGAAATGTGTCAATTTTTTCTTTTTTTCTTTTTTTTTTGAGGAATTTTGTTTGTTTGGATTCCTTGCAGGACTACTAATGAGTAATTTTGAGAACAGAAAGCTAGTTAATATTCATTTTGAGCCCAATTCATCACTCCGGTCACTGTTTCCAAAGATCTGAGCATATCCTGTGGCCCTGGATGTTGTACAAGAGCGGACTCCAGCTTCAAGCCATTATGGTTACTGAACAACCACTGATCATTAACTGTGAAAAATACCCAACATTGTGTCTAAATATTAACAGATGGATGAACACGGTCAGATCTCTCTCTCTCTCTCTATAGGTTTTACTCACATTGATCACTAATGTCCTGGCGATGGGACAAGGTCACCTTCCCCTTGGCCCGTAATGAATGCTGGGCACAGAGAAACAGCTTGATTAGGTTCTGTCTGGCCCGTTAATTCAGAGAGCTCAACTAAACAACAGTGACAACGGCTGGTCCTGCACACACACACACACACACACACACACACACACACACACGTGTACAGCACATATCATCAGGGGTTAGTCACCCAGAGAGGACGCCTCTCAATTTCAATGCAAAATATTAAAATATGCAATCATGAAATGCATACAGTATGCACGCATCAGCTGTTTCCTGCCTCTCCTAACTCATAAAGCATAAAAACATGAAGCATAATGAACAGATTCCAGTGCCTGCGATGATAGATAGTGTCTTTTTCTTGTTCTTAAAGGAATGTTCCCGAAGTCAACATGAAATGGCATTCGCAACGCATTTTTATTTCATAATGTGGCTTATTTCTGAGTGAAACAGGAGAACATTCTGTGAGGGGAACAAAGGAGATTGGGAATTAATTCAATTCCCAGTGATTTAAAATTTAATTGATTGTAAAAATGATGTAATTTGATGACAGCAAATAGCTGTTTTTATTATTATTATTATTATTATTATTATTATTATTATTATTATTAGTTGTAGTTGCAACCCAAAAACTAATAAAGTCATGAAATAAAACATGAAATAAATATTAACTGATAAATCATGCACTATAAGACCAGGAATGTACTGAAAAAGTAAATTATTATTATTATTATTATTAGTTGTTGTTGTTGTTGTTGTTAAAATGCAGCACAAGAAAATAACGGCAAAAAACTTTAATAAATCAAATAAATAAAAAAGTGAAATTTATGGAATTTGCTATAAGTTTTTTTTATTTACTTATTTATTAATTATTAATTTATTTGTAATAACATTAACTGATAAATCATGCACAATAAAACCAGGATAATATACTGAGAAAGTAAATTGGTGTTTTTATTGTTGTTGTTGTAGCTGTTGATAAACTGCAAAAACCTTTAATTAAACATGGAATAAATAAGACAGCAAAAAAAGAAAGAAAGTAAGAGAAAGAGAATGTGATTTGATTTTATCCATTGGGACTTGATTCAGTCGTGAAAATGATTTTGGAGTTTGATTTACTCCGTTTATGTATGATTAATTGATTTGATGTGAGTGGTTTGTTGTGTGTGTTGTAGCTGTGGAAGACCGTACGGTAAACTGAGACACGTGGAAGGATCCATAGATGCAGGAGATCGAACCCAACAGTCAGGTATCGCCACCGTCATGTGCGTTTCTGAATTAGCATTTAGATGCATTTCACTTATTATCCATTTTGCTGTTGTGATCTGTGATATTACAGCTCGATCCTGGATTGTATCTCTGAATTAATATGTAATTGGTGTCTTCACGAGTCTTTCAGAGCTGTCAGTCTGCTCGAACGTGAAACATGACGAGACGCGTAATCAGGTTTTTTAATAACCTTGCAGACGAGCTGCTGATAATGTCGTCAGACTATGAGACCAACCACAGTGACAGCAGCGACTTTGCACAGAACGAGGAAGACGGAGAGGGTCGCATGAAAGCCTGTGGGACGTTCCCGTCTCCGGCGCTCGCACTGGCCGCTCTCATCCCACCAGAGGTAAACACCGCTTTTGCAGGACAAATTGATTTTTTATCACTGCAATTTAGTTTAGGCAGGTAGATGGGGTTTTTTTTCCCTGTCAGTGTTACAAGCCTACAAGAAGTAAAATTACACAGTATAAAGAGCTGCATAAAATCTATAATGCCCAAAAATACATCAATTGCATAATAAATAAGTGTTTTACATGCACTACTCGGGTTTTTTTTTTTTTTTGATCATCAGATTGTCATCATATTGTCATCAAAACTAATCATTGTAAAATAATCGTTTTATTTATTTATTTATTTTCTTTAAATATTTGTATGCATTGTTTTTACGTCTAAAGGGCCAGGATGATTAAATGTTAATGATTCAATACTGTATTTTATTAAACAATAAATGTCAATGCATAGATCACATTTTCTCTTTTTTTAATTATGTTTTTTTTTAATATTTTTCTTATATAATGAAAGTTTAAAAAAACAAGTATAAAATGGTTGTTTATTAAAATTTAGCAACTTTGTGTATATTTTATTTGCTAATGTTTTATTACATCAGCCACAATACTAGATATTATTAGATGTCATATGTTTTGTTTTTTTGTACTTTATATGTCTAAAGGTTGAGGCCAGGATAATTAAATGGCTGAAATTATGATTAAATAATACATTTTGTTAAATAATAAAAAAGA